ACCTTGGCGAATGTCGGTGGAGGAGGAGTTCCAGGACCCTGAGGAAATGCTGCTTTGTTCCCGGAAAAGGCCATTGGACTCACAGGAAAGTAGCTGGAGCAGCAACAAGACGATCAAGTATGGGAGCAGTGCCATCACTTGTGCATTGCAGGAACAAGAGAAGGAGATGCTCAAGAGTCTTGCGGTGGTTGAACCAGATCAACCGCCTTCACCAAAATGAATATCCTTGCTTGGAATTGTAGAGGTATTAATAGTGCCTCTACTCAGCATTATGTAGGTAGATTATATAAACATTATAAGTCTAAAATTCTATTCTTAATGGAGACTAAAGCAAGTAGTAGTTTTTTGGTAAAGTGGCAACAGACCACGCCTTTTGGTCATTCTTTTGTAATAGATTCAGTAGGGACTTCGGGTGGTCTCGCTTTATTTTGGATGTCAGATGTAAAGCTAGATATTATGTTGCAGAAACCAAATGTAATAGTAGCGAGGATACGTGAATCGTCAGCGCTTAGTTGGTTAGCAGTTTTCTTGTATGGTCTTCCTAGTAGACAGGGCCGTGCAGAGTTTTGGTCAAACCTTAGCTCCAATCTAAGCTCTTTTCACTACCCTATTGTGTTATTAGGAGATTTTAATCAAGTAGTTTCACATGAGGATAAATTTGGTAGTAGATTAGTTAGGGATCAAGACACGGGTCCAGTGAGTCAGTTTCTGATGAGGAATAATTTGGAGGAACTTCAACATATGGGATGTTGGTACACCTGGTCCAACAATATACAACAGGGTGAAAGGATTTATGAAATACTGGATCATGCCTTTGTCAACAGACAATGGTTATCTCTGTTCCCCTCGGCTTCTGTCAGGAATCTACCTATTATGGTTTCGGATCATGCTCCAATTATGGTTCAGGTCAAGCACAAGTAGAAGAAAACAAGACCGCGTTTAAGGTTTGAACAATTCTGGACAAACACACCAACTTCCACAGAATTGGTTAACACTGCATGGAGAAATGATAATTTACAGATTCCTAACGTCCAAGAGAAATTGTCCTTTAAGCTAAAGTCGAGTCTTATAGGCCTGTCTAACTGGAGCAAAGAAACCTTTGGTAACCTTGACAAGCTAGTAACAAGGTTATCGGCTCAACTGGCCATTTTACAATCTCATTGGGAGGAGCATACTGATGATGATACATCATTTAATCTCCTCTCACAGAAAAAAGAGGAGCTAGAGCAAGCACTTCAGTATCAACGGGATTACTGGCATCAATGCTCCAAACTTGTCTGGCCAGTATAGGGAGACAAGAACACAAAATACTTTCATAAATGGGCTTCCAAGAAGAAAGGTAATAACTGGATCACAAAACTGCAATCCAGTAAAGGTCAGTGGTTATATGATTCAACACAGATTTCCCAAGTCCTTTTGAGGCACTTCCAGGATCTTTATGATGTGCAACTGATGAGTTCTTCTGGATTCTCAGTACCACATAGCCAAGTAAATTCTGATCCCTTAAGCTCCCCGTTTTTTCTTCAATTCCTCAATCATATGCAGGAAGGTATCACTCTAGAGCAAAGAACAGCTCTGGAAACATCATTCTCTGCCCAAGAATGTCATCCTGGAAATCACCAGGTCCAGATGGTATGCCGGCTGGATTCTACAAAACATATAAGCATATCATAGGCTCAGATTTGGAGACCTCCATTTTGGAAGCAGCTGAAAGTCAACAATTCCCTCATGAGTGGAACAGACTAATATTGTTCTCATCCCCAAGCTGCCTAATCCAGTCACTTCCGGGGATTTTAGACCAATAAGTCTCTGCAATGTGAAGTATAAGATTCTCTCGAAGATGATTGCCAACAGACTTAAGCAGGTAATGTCGGAGCTCATTGATGAACACCAAAATGGATTTGTTCCAGGATGAAATATCAGTGAGAACATTTTACTTGCACATGAAGTCATAGAATACATCAGGAAAAGGAGGGTGATGTCGGTGTTGCAGCAGTCAAATTAGATATGAGCAAGGCATATGATAGTGTATCATGGCCTTTTCTGGAAGCGGTACTAGTCAAGGTTGGCATCCCACAAAAACTTATAAATCTAATCATGCACTGTGTCACCATGGGTACCTACTCTATCCAGTTCAATGGTGAACATTTGCCTTATTTTGCTCCCAACAGAGGTCTTAGACAGGGCTGTCCTTTGTCCCCTTACCTATTCATTTTATGCCAACAAGCTCTTTTCTCGGCAATTAGGGCAGAGCTACAAGTGTTTCCAGGGCTAGGCATCAAAATCAGCAAGCAGGCGCCATGGATTAGTCATCTCATGTATGCGGATGATAGCTTATTCTTCCTCGAGTGCAGGGACACATCTATACAGGCACTGTCTGGATTACTGGAGGATTATGCTTCCTACTCAGGTCAAAGATCAACCATCAAAAATCCTCCATTTTAGTGAGTCAGAATACATCATCTTCAATAAAAACTCTGGTGCACAATACCTTGAATATCCCTGACGGTAATTTTCAGAGCAAATATCTTGGTTTGTCTCTAGATTTCAAACGGAAAAAAACAGATATCTTTAGAGAATTCACCGCTAGGCTCCAAAAGAAGTTAGGGGACTGGAAGACAAAGCTTCTTAGCTTTGCTGGGAGGGTTACATTGCCAAAGGCTACTTTATCAGCTATGTTGGTATATCCAATGAAAGTTTTTAAACTTCCAGCCTCCACATTAAAGAAAGCTGATGGAATCATTGCTCGTTTTATATGGAAAGGTGACAATCAGGAGCAAGACATTCATTGGAAATTTTGGAAGAAAATGGCTAAATCACAGTTTCATGGGGGTTTAGGCCTCAAAGCCACTGCCAAATTTAATCAAGCTCTTTTGGCTAAACATGCTTGGAAAATTTTGGCGCAACCATCTTCCCTTTTATCCAGAATATACAGAGCGAAATACTGCACCATGGAAAATTTTCCACAAAAGACTCCACCCACCAATGCCACTTGGGGATATAAGAGTGTTCTCTTGGGAGCAAAACTCCTTCACAACAACATAAAATGGAAGATTATAAGTGGTAGAGATATCCCGATTGCCAGCAACTGGATTCCCGGAGTCACTAATCCTATACAGTGCAATTCCTTTTTAGCTCAACATTACAATCTGATGGTTAGTGATCTTCTCCGACCAAATGGACAATGGAAAATGTCTCTCCTTCAGTCCTTTTTCCCAGACCAGTATATCCGCTATATAACTGGAATATATGTAGATCCTGCAAGGAATATGCAACCAGATGTACTTCTGTGGCAAAAGACAGATCATGGTTCCCATACGGTCCAATCAGGGTATCATGAAGCTTTAAATCGAGATTCTCCCACCTTCCCTGCTCCAGCAACCTAACAGATTCCTTCACAAATTGAAAGCTTGGCTTGGAAGAAGTTGTGGAATGCTAAAGTGCAAGCCAAACACAAATTCCTTTTTTGGAGGGCGGCACTCAATGCCTTGCCATCCAAACAAGAACTTGTGAGAAGGGGAATACAGGTTGATACTTCCTGTCCAAGGTGCTTTACAGGATTGGGGGATAATCTTCATCTCTTTTTCAACTGTCCAATTTCTCAAGCAGTCTGGAGCTTTGCATACCCTAATTTCTAATCAATTTTAAATGGCTCCATGACCTCCATCCTGGATTGGTTTACCTCATGGATTCAAACTCAACCATCTTCAGAAGAAATTGACCTTTTCCTCTTAATCTTTTGGCGTATTTGGTTAGACAGAAATGATAAAGTGTGGAGAAATTAGACCACCGATCCGGTCACTTCATGGAGATTAATACAACAGGACCTTAAGCAGTACAAGGCTTTGCTGTCCAGATTGAGGTCACAGACGGCTTCGACTTCACCTACCCTTCCTCCTAGAAGACCTATTGATTCATTGGCAGAACTTACTTTTGATGCATCCTTCAATCCCCATAACAAAAAGGCAGCAGGAGCCTGGCGAATTCTCTCTTCAACCGGTATGTTAATGCAGATCAAGACAGTTTCCATAACATCACTGTCGCCTCTCCAAGCAGAAGTTACTACCTGCTTACAGGCATTACAAGATGCTTCATCTCTGGGCATTCAAAAGCTCCACATCTACACGGATTGTGAACTCTTGACCACCGATCAGGAAATTTCAAAATTTCCGAGTGAAGCTCATGAGATAATCGCCAACATACGTTCCCTAATGTCTACTTTTTGGCTTTGCTCATTGATAAAGGTAAACCGGACGATAGTTCAGGATCTACACAATTTAGCTTATGCAAAAATGCGATATACTAGTTTAGGTAACCTTAATTAATATAGGTACCAATTCAAAAAAAAAAAAAATCTCTGATTCTTCTTCTTCCCAGTCATTCGAATTCGATTCCTCCCTTATTGATTTCGATTGTTCCTTCTTCCGCTTCGATTCGCCATTCTTCTTCTTCGATTCCTTCTTCGGAATCCCTCAGCTCTTATTTTTCTCCGATTAATTTTGAAGAAAAATCTCTCTTCTCTCTTTCTTCTCTCTTTCACCCGACTTCGATTCTTCGGATTCGATTGGGATTTCTTTTTGTTCTCAATATCTCCCTTCTTCTTCGAATTCATCTCTTCTTTGAATTCGAGTTTTTCGTTCCCACATCTTCATCGAATTCCTTTTTCTTGGATTCGATTCTGATTTTCTCCATTTGGTTTTTCTTTGATTAATTCGAAGAAATTTTTCCTTGCATTTGTTGATTCCAGAAATTAGTGTTCGCACATTACCCAATGGATTTCGTCGATTCCAACATTTCTAGGGTTAAGTATCTGTTATCTCTTCCACCATCAGAGATTTTTCCCCCTGATCCGACTCCGTTTGGATTACCGGAACCCTCACCGTCCGGAATTCCTCTTTTCTCCGGTGAAGATTAGAGTTCCTGGCTGACCCGGATTGAAGAATTTTTCGCCGGTAATCTGACACCACCAGAAAGTAAGATATTGGTTGCATCTTTTCTATATGGCCGGTGACGCTCTTCAATTCTCGTACGGACTGGAAGCCGTATCCCAGTTATTCAATTGGGAAGTACTCTCGGAACAGCTGGAGCTCCCATTTGGGCAGTTCATCGGGCAGAAAGTGGTAATCAACTATTGGGAGGCCTATGAATCTTTCTTGGATGAAGGTAATTTTCCCTCTCCGGCTGTGAATCCCACCGAATCTGTTGGTTTTGATGGTGTTTCCTCGGAGCTGGATAGTGATTCTGCTTGTTTAGACGATATTAGTGAAAAATATGATGATGAAATTGGCGAGTCCTGTCTTGAATTTGGTTTACTGTTTGATGATGGTGCTGATTTGCATTATCCTGATGTTAGTCTAGTTACATTCCTGAATTCATTCCTTAATGCAAATGACTGCTGTCTGATTACATTTGATCCGGGTGGAAATTGGGAATCCAGTGGTCAAGATTGCAGTGTGCCTGTGTTTTTCGATGTTGAAGGAAGTTTGTATGTGCACTTGTGCAGTGTTCTTTCATTAAGGGTAGTTGTCAAAGCTTTGATGTAATTGATCCTGGTGGAAATGATGACATTCGGTGGAAACTGTTTGATGTTGAACCGGATGAATCTGGGAAGAAGTCCCTTCTGTCTATGAATGCATTGTTGTGTAAAAATTGGGTTGAGAAGACAACCAGTTTTAGAGGGAGCACAGAAGTTTGTTTGGCCGCAATGATTGACAGATTCCTACATGCCAAGTGTGCAGCCTTATGGGTTCTTAAATCTATAACACCCTATGGCGGATTTGAGTGTAGTAGAGGGGTACTGCATTCAGATGGTGAAAAGCATTTATCTTGGTCTGAAGTGGTTAATTGCTTCAGAGGTGGTACTTCTGAGTGGTTTCAGTTTGAAGGATTAAATAATCCTGCTGCTACCTGTGTTGGAGTTCTGTTCGACAGTTCAGTATGTTGGCCTGACCTTCCCGTTGGTGCTGTTTTTGCTAATGAAGTTCTGGTTCGCAGCTGGATTCTTCAAGCAGTAGGTCCTGCTGAGTTGATTGGCGTTGTTTTGAGAGTGAGCTCAACAGATAAAAGCCTCAACAGTCATTTTGTCACCATTGTAGCTGTTATGCAGTTAGATTTCGTAGTTGTTATTCTGTTCGTTGTTGCTGTCCAGAAAATTGGCCTTTGTGCTAATTACTGTTATGTTTTAAGTAGTGAATCTGTATTCGACAAGACTGTTTTTAGAGGGGGGCTTTGTCATGAATTGGGGACTTTAACGCCTCAATTCCGTAGTGTAGCGATCTATCTGTAGTTTACTCAACTTAGGAACTATAAATTGGCTATCAGGGGTTGTAATTTCATTATTGAAAAATGATGAATTGTGTTGATATTTGTGTTTTTCCCCTTCGGGGTGGTTCTGAAACCCTATATTCACTGCCGATCTTCTGTAAATTCCGATCTAATCCCTCCGATTTGGTGGATAAACATCTTGTGCATTACAGATGGCTCCAAACTTCAGTAACACTTATAAAGGATATAAGGAATGATTTCAAGTCCAAATTGAGACCTTAAACACATGCCTATGGATTCGTAAACCCACAGGTATGGTTTCGTACATTCCAAAAGCACGTAATGTACAAGTATCATCTCGTAAATCAGAATGGCTCAAAGTCCTAGTACCACTTATAAGAGATCTAAGGAATTATTTCAAACCCAAATGAAGGCCCTTAGCACATGCCTATAACTTTGTATTCCCACATGTACGGTTTCGTACATCCTAATGTTTCATAATGTACAAGTATCATCTATTAAATAGGAATGGCTCAAAACCTCAGCAAAACTTATAAAGAATATAAGGAATGATTTCAAGCCTAAATGGAGGCCTTAAACACATACCTAAGGCTTCAAAAAGCCACATGTCTGGTTTCGTACATCCTAATGGCCGATAATGTACAAGTATCATCTTGTACGTCAGAATGACTCCAAATCTTAGTAACACTTAAAGGGATACAAAGAATGATTTTAAGCTCAAATAGAGGCTCTAAACACATGCCATGGTTCTATAAATCTACATGTACGGTTTTGTACATCCTAGTGGCCCAAAATGTACAAGTATCATCTATTAGATCGGAATGGCTCCAAATCTTAGTAGCATTATAAGGGATATGACGAATGATTTCAAGACCATATGGAGGACCTAAAAACATGCGCATGGTTGCGTAAATCCACATGTACAGTTTTGTACATCCAAATGTCCCATAATGTACAAGTATCATCTCGTACATCAAAATGGCCTAAAACCTTTGTAATACTTATAAGGACGGTAAGAATTGATTTCAAGCCTAAATGGAGACTATAAACACATGCCTAAAGCTCCATAAAGCCACCTGTGCGGTTTCGTACTTCCTAGTGGCCTACAATGTACAAGTATCATCAGTTACATAGCAATGGCTCCAAAGTTCAGTAACACTTGTAAGGGATAGAAGGAATGATTTCAAGCCCACATGGACGCCCTAAACACAAGCCTATAGTTCCGTGAACCCGCATGTACGGTTTCGTACACCCTAAGGGCCCATAATGTAGAAGTATAATCCCCTACATTGGAATGGCTCAACACCTTAGCACCACTTATAAGGGATATAAAGAATGATTTGAAGACCAAATGGAGACACTAATCATATGCCTATGACTCCATAAACACACATGTACAGTTTCGTATATCCTAATGGCGCATAATGTACAAGTATCATCTCGTACATCGGAATGGCTCCAGACTTTAGCACCAATTATAAGGGATATAAGGAATGATTTCAAGACCAAATGAAGGCACTCACATGTCTATGACTCCATAAACTCCCATGTACGGTTTCTTACATCCTAAAGGCCCATAATTTACAAGTATCATCTCGTACATCGGAATGGCTTCATACCGTAGTAACTTATAGGGGACATATGGAATGGTTTAAAACCAAATTGTGGCCCTAAACACATGCCCATGGCTCCGTAGATCCGCATATATGGTTTCGTACATCCTAATGACCCATAATAGACAAGTATCATCTCTTGAATCAGAATGGCCCAAAACATTTGTAACACTTAAAAAGGGATATAAGAAATAATTTCAAGCCTTAATGGTGGCCCTAAACACATGCCTATAGCTATAGAAACCCACATGTACAGTTTCGTACATCCTGATGGCCCATAATGTATGTAAGAAACGGATCCAAACCATAGTAACACTTCTTAGGGACATAAGGAATGATTTCAAGCCCCAATGGAGGCCCCGTCAACCCACAAGTATGGTTTTGTACATCCTAATGGCCCATAATGTAGAAGTATTATATCGTATGTCGAAATGGCTCCAAATCCTAGTATATAAGGGATTGAAAGAATGATTTCAACCCCCATGTGGAGGCCCTAAAAACATGGTCATAGCACTGTAAATCCACATGTACGGTTAAGTAAATCCTAATAGCCCATAATGTACAAGTATAATCTCATACATCAGAATGACTCCAAACCTTAGCACCACTTATAAGGGATATAGGAAATGATTTGAAGCCCAAATGGAGGCCCTAAACACATGCCTATGACTCGCATATCCACATGTACGATTTCATGCATCCGAACGGCCCATAATGTACAAATATTATCTTGAACATCGAAATGGATTAAATCATTGTAACACTTATTACGAATGTAAGGAATGATTTCAAGCCCATGTTGAGGCCCTAAACACATGTATATGACTCCATATATCCTCATGTACAGTTTTGAACTTCCTAATGGTCTATAATGGCTCCAAACCCTAGTAACACTTATAAGGGATATAAGAAATGATTTTGAGCCTAAATGGTGGCCTTAAACACATGCATTTGGCTCCCTAAACCCACATGTACGGTTTCGTACATCCTAATGGCCGATAATGTACAAGTATCATCTCGTATATCAGAATGGCCCTAGTAACACTTATAGAGGACATATGGAATGATTTAAAACCAAAATAGAGGCCCTAAACACATGCCCATGGCTCCGAAGACCCACATGTACAATTTCATACATCCTAATGGTCCATAATGTACAAGTATCATCTGTTACATAAGGATGGCTCCAAATTTCAGTAACACTTATAAGGGATATAAGGAATCATTTCAAGCTCAAATTGAGGCCCTAAATACATGCCTATGCTTTCTTAAACCCACAGGTATGGTTTCGTACATTCTAACGGCACATAATGTACAAGTATCATCTCAAACATTAGAATTGCTCAAAACCTTAGTACCACTTATAAGGGATATAAGGAATTATTTCAAGCCCAAATAGAGGCCCTAAACACATGCCTACGGCTCTATAAATCCACAATTATGGTTTTTGTACATCCTAATGTTCCATAATGTACAAGTATCATCTATTACATCTAAATGGCTCCAAACATGAGTAACACTTATAAGGGACATAAGGAATGATTTCAAGCCTAAATGGTGGCCTGAAACACATGCTAAGGCTCCAGAAAGCCACATGTATTGTTTCGTACATCCTAATGGCAGATAAAGTACAAGTATCATCTCGTACATTGAAATGGTTCCAAATCTTAGTAACACTTATAGGAGATATAAGGGATGATTTCAAGCTCAAATGGAGGCCCTAAACACATGCCTATGGCTCCATAAACCCACATGTACAGTGTCGTACATCTTAATGGCCCATAATGTGCAAGTATCATCTATTACATAAAAATAGCTGCAAACGTCAGAGACACTTATAAGGGATATAAGGAATGATGTCAATCCCAAATTGATTCCCTAAATACATGCCTTTGGCTCTCTAGACCCATAGGTCCAGTTTCATACATCCTAATGGCCCATAATATAAATGTACCATTTCATACATCGGAATGGCTCCAAACCTTAGCTTCACTTATAAGGGATATAAGGAATGGTTTCAAAGCCATATGGAGGCCCTAAAAACATGCCTACGGCTCCGTAAACCCACTTGTACGCTTCGTACATCCTAATGTCCCATCATGTACAAGTATCATCTCGTACATCGGAATGGTCTAAAACCTTTGTAATACTTATAAGGATTATAAGGAATGATTTCAAGCCAACTGGAGGCTTTCAGAATTTTGTTCAATAGAACTCACTTCTGAATTTGTTTGTGACTTGATATTACCAGTTGTTTCTATAACACATTGTTCTGGAATAGGTATTTTATTCCATTTAATTGTCCTCCTAGTAGTAATCTATGACTTATTAAAATTTGTTTCAATTAAAATTGTTTCATTTATATTTTTATCAATTAATTTAAAATTAGGATTCAAGGTCATCAATGGTTTATAATAAATTTTATAACATATACAAATCAATTCTGATCCAGTCACATAATTATATCCATGATTTTTAACATTTAATGTTAATGCATCAAGTATTTTAGCATCACTTAATGATAATGAAAGATTTGGATATACATTAAATAAACTGGACCATGTGCCAAGCTAGACTGGATTATTCCCATTAAGGATTAGTTACAATTTAAGTTTCTAGCATCTCAAAAGCAAGCTATAAAAACTTTTTAGCAATCCTTCTAAAGTCAATGGGTTAAAAGTGATTTGTACCAAACCAATATGAGTAAATTTATACAATTGGCCATATCTATTGATATATGATTCTCAATGCAATCGTTGGAATTGTCCATCTATTAAGTTCTTCTAAATTTTTTAGAATATCATATTCTTGTTTAAGACTATTTTTAACAATCTTCTTGTTTTTCTGAATTAAATTCATTCAAATTCAAGGTTGGTTGTCGGGATAACATTCAGTAGCTACAATTCTTCTCATGGCTCTTATACCACAACTAGGATAGAAACATAGACTAATTTTAAGGAAATTTTAGTCAAATAGGGAAGATTACAGAGAAATTAAGTCTGTCATCAATGGGTTTATATAAGTAAATTGGGATCGACGCCCTTAACACGCCTTCTGCATAGTTTCAAATTGGGCTGACCCTACTTATAAAAATCATTGCCAGTCTTAATCACTCTTACCCTCGACAATATTTCACTTAATTAGTGAAATTTAACTCTTAGTCTATGTCACTTAATTAGAGCTATTTTCTTAATTAACTAAACCCATAAAATTCTTTAAGCTTTGAGTTCAAGGGAGATTACCATACAAAATAATGGTGAATAAGGCATATCGGATCTAGGAATCACTTAATGTTTTCCATGTAAAAATACATACATATATAAGGTGTCCTATTGGATATACCTAAATATCCTATAAATGTTAGATATCATACCAACTAGCAAATACA